CAAGGAATGGGGCCCGAGGGACTAAAGAGTACACGTGTGTGTGGAGTCAGAGCCCACGGATTCGTTGGTGGGAAACAATTTCCGAGCGATTCAGGTGTTTGACACCCGCTAATTTTTTTTTTTTCGTTTTGATTTTTTAAGTGAAACAACGAGTGACTATCTCATCTTTATTAACAATAGTTTCGTTAAAAAAAAATCCAAGTATAATACCAGTACACAAAAGAAAGGCGAAGCCGTAACGACAATTCGGAACATTAAAAGTGAGGATCAATATATCTCTATGCTAAACAAGATATGACATGACAACTGCCCGGATAATCTCGTAGTATAGATGACACTGGATTCAAAAAAAATTTCTTCACGGGGGAGAGAGGTGTAACAAATGTCTAGCGACCTAAAAATATATATAATAGTGTAAAACTATAGTCCGGTAGTAGCTGATGGGAATGCACTAAGTATATTTTTATTGTTAGGCATTTAGATGGGTTTTTACATTTTAATTCAAATTGCTCATATTTTCTTAGTGGTTTTAGATAGCAAACGCCTTGGAGTGTAACTTTTAAATTTTAAAGTGGGGCGGATTGTAAAAATTACATAACCTTACATGTAGGCTTGTCCATCCGGGCCGGGCAAAACCGGAGCCCGGACCCGGACCCGGGTACCCCGGGCCCAACCGGGCCGGGCTCCGGGTCGGCGCGGATTTTTTTCAATTTTTTTTCTTTTCTTTTTTTTGATAAAAAATGATAAAAATTAGTTTAAATTTATTATATTTTATATAATTATGTATATACTTACAAATTATTATGTAATTATATATTATATATACATATATTATATATATTATATATACATATATTATATGTAAATATATTGTATATATTTATAAGTTATAACTTGAGAGAGAAAATCGCATAAGTAGCCATTGCCTGTTGGGCCAATGGGGAAGAAGTAGCCGGAGTATACTTATATATACATATATACTAAGAGAGAGAGTATATATATATACACACATATATTATACATATATAAGAGAGTGTATACTTATATATACTTATATAAGAGAGACTATACATATATAAGAGAGAGTATACTTATATATACATGTATAGTATAAGAAAGAGTATATATATACATACATACATACATTATACATATATAAGAGAGAGTATATATACACACATATATTATACATATATAAAAATATATTATATATACATATATTATACATATTATATATATTTATATATACATATATCATACATATATAATACATATAAAAAATATAAAAATATAAAAAAATATAAAAGTTTACTATTCCGGGCCGGGCCGGGCACCAAAGAGCCGGCCCGGGCCTGGCCCGGAGCCCGGACTTGGCCCGGGTTTCCGGGCCGGGCTCCGGGCCGGCGGGCTTTTTGAACACCCCTACTTACATGCAATATTGTAAATGTCTAGGGTATAACTACACCCCTAAAGTGGTACTAAATCTGCCCGACCATCTCCAATGGCAAGGCAAATATTTACTTTCTCTCTCCTTCCACCTCACTTTATTCTCCCTCAACATCACTTGCCTTTTCCAATTGCCTTTCAACTCCACAACAACTAGTTTTTTAAAAGTTTTTCACTTTATCTTTCTTCCACATCACTCAACCATCTTCTGACACGTGGGGCCCTTGGTGAAATTTAACCGGTAGGCAAATTTTGCTTTTTCTCTCCCCTACTTTTCATTTGCCTATCCACTTGCTTAGCCATTGCACTAAATAATTGTCCCAATTGTTAGCCATTGCACTTGGTCTAAGTACAGAAGCTTTGTCTCTGCACGAACTCAAAGTACTCCCGCCTTGTGAAATGTCAAAACTATGCTAACATCATTTACAAGCTCAAATTTTACGACCAACGAGTGGCAATTTCTAAAGTTCTGTCTTTAGCTACTCTTGAAATATTAGAACACCATGACATAATGTTAGAAATGCATTGTTTATATATTTGAGTTAAAACTCTATCTTTTATTTAAAGGTTTAT